TTTTTATTCTAGTGCAGTCAATAGTATTTTAAAGCTGACAAGATAAAGGAGGCCACCGAAAAATTTTTAAATTCTAATTGTCAACATCAAATCAAAATGAAACAATTAATGATCCAAACAAATAAAACCTCAGGGATAGGGCTGGGGATTTAGCTCAGTGGTTTCACCGCCTGCTGCGCAAGCGCAAGGACCCAAGTTCGATCCCCGGTACTAAAAATAAATAAATAAATAAATAAATAAAATCTCAGGGACAACATTTTTGGTGTGTTTGTGCCCTCCTAACAAATTTCACCTTGAGTTTGTCTTGTAAATGTTTTACAAGAAGTGTGCTTCCCTGGGCTGAGCTGACATTGGTCTACAGGCCTGTTTTTGTTTTTTATACATATTTATTTCATGGAAGAGACTAGAATGGCATAAAAGTCGCCAGACTACTTTTCAAGAGTGCAGCTGAATCTGAATCTGAAAGCCCACTTACTTCTGCTCTAAAATTAAAACCATAGACATTAAACCTGGATACAATATGATAGAGGGAATGCCTTGTAACACTATTAAATAAAACATAAAGATCAAAACAGAAAAATGGACAGAAACTTACAACTCGGTTGCACTCAACTTTTGTACATTTTCAAACTAGGGCTGAGAACAGTGCCCAGTTATCATTTTTTAACAGGGCGGGGTATAAATAAGTGAAAATGGCCCAGATCCTCCTGGAAAAGAAACAAGAGGAAAGGGGACATGTCCTCATTTTTTGTAGTCTGACTTTGCCTGTCTGGCAAAGCTCCTCTGTTGCCCCTATCTGCAGTTATTATCTAAAATGGGGGTGCCTTCAACTACAATGAAAAGTCAAAAGCCACCTATAAATTTGTCAATCACTAAAGGATATCCATGAAATACAGATGAATTTTAACTTAATTTTATTATTGCATTTTAACTTAAATTACATGTTTTAAATGTGTAATGTGTGCATGGCTATTAAAGATGTGTTGTTGGTTTCTAAGCCAGAGCTCTGGACAATGTATATTGACTACGATTCCCTGGCTCCGGCTGCTCTGCTTGGTGTAAATAGAGAGGATCTCAATCTTTGCGTGTGCCGAATATGGATTATGTCAAACTCTTTGAACACTCGGTTTGGTGAAGATGTTGTCACTATGTACAATAAAAAACTAGTGGAGGGGATTTGGCTGAGTGGCACCGCACCTGCCTTGAAAACACAAACATCCTGAGTTTGATTCCCGGTACCAAAAAAAAAAAAAAAATCTAGTTGAATTAACCAAAAAAAAATCTCCTAGTACATGAATTATGTAGTTTTCTCAGATTATACACAAAAATTCATTCCAGTCTTTTCCTTAAATCAGCAGAATTAGGTGCTGGAGTTGAAGAAGGAATTACAATACTCTTGCTAGAGTATGAAAAATGACATTTGAGTCCTCACTGTATACTACAATAAATACAAAGCATTTTAGAATGTTATCTTATTTAATCCTCATGATAATCCCATCAGGTAGGTACTATTATTATCCTCATTTTATGGACTGTTCCCTAAGGTTGACAGCAGTTCAGAATTATACAGCTAGTAGGTTAATTCAAATACAGGCAGTCTAATTCCAGAACCAGCAATTCAGACATGAATTTGCATAAAAGATCCACAAAATATAATTTAAAGCCATTTACTTTTTTTTTTTTTTGTATGGGGTATCAAACTTGGGACCTTGTACTTGTGAGGCAGGCAGTGGAACCACTGAGCTAAATCCCAGGCCCTAAAGCCATTTACTTTTCAAGAAGGAGAAATGGATCACTGAGGAACAAAGTTTAGCCTGACTAAAAGATTTCAAAAAAGTCTTCACTCCTTTCTGCTGTTGGTTAACATGGAGGTAGTAGTAGACACCTAGCATTTCAAATTTTACATACAGGAAAGGGTCAAGGATCTGAGGGAAGGTTACCTCTAGGGCTCCCACAACAAAGTCACCAGAGTCACAGAAAGGTACCCAGCGAGGCCCAAAGCAAAGTCCCAACAGGGACTGAAACAAAATTCACCTTATCCAGAAGCAAAGCTGGAGATGACCACTGAAGCCTTCCAAAATGACAACAGACCCATCCAAAGCAAATTCTTGTAACTTCTATGTGACATCCACCCTTGTCACTAAGTTCCTATCAATCATGTGTCCTCCCATACACACGGCTGGGGATGGAACCCAAGGCCTTATACACACTAGGCAAACAATCTACCACTGAACAACATGTCCAGCCATTTCATTTCATCATTTTATTTCTTTTCATTTTTGAGGCAGATCTCATTAAGTTGCCCAGGCTGGCCTCAAACTTGCAATTCTCCTGCCCTAGCCCCCAAGCAGCTGGAATTACAGTCATGCACAACTGCACCCAGCCAATGCTATGTCTTAACTGAATATACCACTCTGTAATAAGAGACAAATTGCCATAAAAAGGTCCTCTTTTCACTTAAAAACAAACATGAAAGTATGTTTAAAATATACTTGTTATATATTTTGGCCCAGTTAAGGGAAAAAGAAGTAGAAAAGGAAGGAGAACAGAAGCAAAAAGGATAAAGAGGTAGAAGAGAAACAGCCATCAGTGAACAAAGGTAGTGACTAATTGCAATCTGAAACTGGCTAACTACCTTCTGTAGATAGTGAGCTTCCTCATCTAAAAATTGAGATGGAAGGGCCAGGGATTTAGCTCAGTGGTTCGGCTGCCTGCCTCACAAGCGCAAGGTCCTGAGTTCGATCCCCAGTACCAAAAAAAAAAAAACAAAACTGAGATGGCAGTAGGAGCTACACCTAAGAACCACAATCAATTCCAGAACACACCAATCTTAAAAGGAACCCTCATTCAGAGCTTCAGAGCTGAGAATGACAACTGGACACAGGAAGGAAACAAAAAACTTTTTGAGTTGCTGGGACAAGGCTAATTTCTGATTATTTTTCTTAAAGATGGATGATTTGTTAAAAATTACACTCCCTAAAGAACAGTAAGAAAGGGGAGTCCATAAAAGTTGCCCATTGAACCCAACCCAAATGGAATTCATATTCAGAGATGAATGTCACCATTCCTGCCTAAAGGTGCTCAGGATCTAGTTAAAGTTTTAGCTAAATACTAAGAGAAAAATTATGCCTCTGACTCTTTTTTTGTAAGAATAACACATAAAGAAAGCAATCATTTTTATAAGCTTAACATTTAGATCTCAATTAAGAAATATGGGGTTTAAAGAAATTAGCTTTACAGCACCTAAATTTTCTGACTTCACATTCAGTGCTCTAATACATATGAATACCGTGCCCTATGAATGTTATTTAGCTATAGTAATGAAAGTTCTATTATCTAGAAGGTAAAGAACACTTAATAGTTTGATGAAAACTCCTACCTACTGCTAAAAAGGTTAAAGTTTCAAACAGATTTGTCTTGGTATTTCCCATAAATTGCAACGCAGATGTTTTCCCACTTAATCCACATTAGCCTAAACTACATCTCCAGGTCAGAGACCTTTTGCCCAACTCACCTCTATTCCCAATGCTTGACACAAAGCAAATACACAGAGGGTTCAAGGCCCTTTCCAGGTCTAAAACTGCTTGACATCTAACTTCAAATCATGTCGAAGATAGAGTGACCAATAAACACCTAAATGCCACAAAGTATCACAAATTCACAAACTTCACCCACCTTGAGACCTTTGAGAATATTGCCACTGCAAGCTTTAAATATATTTTTGCAACTACAAGCACAAATAAAGATCTCAATACTATATATTTTGTTCTATGAGTAACACAAAATTAAGATTTCTCACTTGATTTAATTATAGTTTCTTTGTAAATTTACACAAGCAGGAAGAATAAAGAATAATGAAGTGTGTCTTTGTATCTACAAATATATACACTAGTTGTATAACCTTGTAAAACCTGAACTACAGAATTTGTTTCTTTCACTTCTAGTTATAGTCAATGCCCCTCAAAAGGGAACAAAAACAGAGTAAGAAAAGCTTTAAAAGGAGAAATTTTATAAGTTGAGAATATTTACCTAGATATTTCTTTAAAAGCCATGTCAAAATATAACTCAAAGGAAATTGCTTTTTCAGTAATGTGCATTAAGATAAATATTTTCCAACTACTTTTCTGTTCCTATTAAACCAACAAAAAACCCCATTCTGAAATCTGCAATGTCCAGCACCACAATTTAATTTGAAGAACATCAATTTTAATTTGTCAAATCACAAATAAAACACCATGACAAAATTAAAAATAGGTCGTTAAGGGATGGGGATGTAGCTCTGTGGTAGAGCTCTTGCCTAGCAGATTGAGGCACTGGGTTCGATCCCCAGCACGGGAAGTGGGCTAAAAAAAAAAAAGCGTTCAAAAAAGATGAGTCCGATTTGGCATAAGCAGGAAAGGGGGGGGGGGTTCCTAGATAAAAAAATGCTATAGTAATTTGGCTTAAAAGACTGGATCTAATACTTAACACAAAACCGACTGCATTTTAGTCAAGGCCACTGAAACAACTAATTACACACTATGAAACACCACTTCTAATTTCAAGAATTTCCACCAACTTGAATGGATTTGGACTCCACGTAAATAGACAGCTTTGCAAAATGACTTCCCTTTCTCCTTCACAACCACACCCGTACACATATACCGCCTCCACTCCTTCTAAATCTTTAAGGTCCAAAAAAGAATGGGAGCCGAGGTTATCAGCTTTTCCAAAAGAAGCAACAGCAGATATGACACTACCAGGCTAACCAGAAAAAAATGCACAGAAACCCAGTGTGAACACCGCGTACAACCAACAGGGAGACAAAAAGATTTGCACCCCGCAGGGCTCACAAGGATTCCTACAAAAACAATGCAGACCCAGTTCCTCTTGGTCTAGAGATAAATCAAAGCCAAGTCCCGCTGCGCTTGGGGCCACATGGAAGTAGCCTTCCTTTCCGGCAGCTCGTGCCAGCTCCAAGGCCGGCCCCACCCCGACCCCCGGCGCAGCCTGCGCTGTACCTGGCGAAGAAGTCGGCGAAGCCGCCGCTCCGTCGAGCCCGGGTCGAGGTCCCCGCAGGGTCTTGCTCCGCGGTGGGCGAGGACACCTGCGGCCCTGCGGAGGTCAGGTGGTCGCCGGCGCTCTGGCGGCGGCTCACCTCGAATGTGTTCCGTGAGTTCAAGCGAACGTCCGGAAAGCCAAGGACCAGCTCCGTGCCCCCACTAGTTCTCCTGACCGAGAGGGCGGCGGGGGTCGCGCCCTCCTCGGAACCCGTGGCTTCGCTGCCCGAGCCCTCGAGCTTTTTGCCGTTCACGTTCCCCAGACAGCAGCTCCGCAGCGGGTCCTCCAGCGGCGCGGCCCAGTCGTCCACGCTGCCCGCGCTTTCCGCGCCCTCGTCGCCAGGCCCCTCGAGGCGCAAGCGGCCGCAAGGGCAGGGGCTGCGGCCGCACGACTCCGGGCCATCGGCGCGAGCCAGCCCACTAGCCTTCTCCAAGCCACGACGGTCCTGGCCCGGGAGAAAGCCCGAGTCCCCGTTGGTCATGCCTCCCTGTCGCGGCGCTCGGGCAGCCACTGCCCCTGAGCCGCGGAGCTTGGAGCCCGGGCCCGGAGGGCAGGCGTCCCAGCGCAGGGCTACCGAGGACAGCGAGGCACCGGCCTGGCCGCCGGGCAGGGCACAGTAGCAGAGCCCCGGCTCTAACTGGCCCCCGGCCGCGGCAAGGTAACGCTGAAGGAGCTGCGGTGGCGGAGTCTCCTCCTCCTCCTCTTCTTCTTCCTCAGCCGCTGGCTGCTCCACAGCGCCGACGCCTCCGCTAAAGCCGCCCGTGGCCCGCATCATCTTCCCGTTCTGGCCCACGGGCTCAAGCGCAGGTACTAGAAGCAACTTAGCGTTTCTGCCCGAACAGGGTCTGGCATCCTCTGGACCCACCATGTGAGGCCGGTGGGCCCAGGGGCCAGAGGAGGCTGCGGAGGACTCCGAGCCGCAAGCTCTCCCAGAGACCAGCGGTGGACGCAAGGTCCGCGGCCCCAGCCGCTGCAACCTTCCCAGACCCACCCCTCCCACCCGCGGGGACGGTCACTGGCGAGAGGGCGGGCACGCGCCTGGGTCCGCGCACGCGCAAAAGCCGGACCACGCAACCCTGGAGCTGGCGATTCCTCGAACCATAGAGACGGCAGCTAGAGAGCCCCAGGCGGCCAATCTGGAATCGGCTGTTTGGATGGTGGAGACTGGCGCACTCAGTGGATGACAGCTCTGAGAGAAGCGCGGACCGGGCTGTTGATTTAGTTCAGTGGCTTCGCCGCCTGCTGCACAAGCTCAAGGACCCGCGTTCGATCCCCGGTACCAAAAAAAAAAAAATCCAAAGCCTTTAAAGCAAAAGAAACGCGGGCAGTGCTCACTTAGCAAAAACTCACTTGTCCTTCATTTAGGAGAGTAAAATACAGAGTGTTAGCGTAGCTAAGTCCTTCCAGCTCTAACTGATCACCAGACAGCTTTACGATCAGCAGTGCAGAAGCCTATTGCCACCAGGATTTCTTGCCAACACCCTCCTTTCTCCATTCCACACTACCAGTTGTCTTTCTTGTCTAGCACCCAATTTCAACACTTTGTTTCTGTTATTACAAAAGGGAAGAGAGAGTGGAAGTACACTGAAGTAAAGGACTATTAATAACCCTGTGATAATGGGATGACCATTCAGTGAAATGAAATGTATTTAAAATAGAAGTCACAAGAAATAACTAATCAGACAAGTGAGAGGAGAACGGAACCAACAATTACTACAAAGCTATGGAATTATGGAAAGCTATGGAGAATGGAAATTATGTGGTTTGAAGAAATGGGAAACTGGGTTGGGAAAAAAAATTCATCAGTAGGCAAAGTACAACTGGTAAAGACCAGAAATATCTAGCATACAGTTGGAGATACAAAATAGGAGAGGATTGAGGTTTGGAAATGAAGGTTAAGTAGTCACCTGCATTAAAAAAAAAAACTAGATGAATCATGAGTGACGTCCTCCAATAGGAAGAATAAGAATAGAGGTGGGGCAGAGACACAAAAGTGTCACTACTTCAGAATACACAAAGAAATTGTATTACAAAAGACTTAAGATGCACCAATTGTAGGTAAGAGGAAGAAACAAATATAGGACACTCCCCCCCATTCTAACCCTGTGACAATGAAAGGGAGGACAGAGATAAAGTAGTACAAGAAGCAATATTGTCAAGCCTTTAAATTTGTATATAAAAATATATACCTACATATACATAAAAGAGTGAGTGATTAGAGGGCCAGGGATTTAGCTCAGTGGCACTGCACCTGCCTTGCAAGTGCAAGGTCCTGAGTTTGATCTCCGGTACCAAAAAAAAAAAGAATGAATAGAACCTGTATGTTGAAATACTGAAATGTCAATAAAATTTGTATCTGGGTACCTATCATATGGTTTAAGAAATATCAAGTGTCTTGGGCCAGGGATTTAGCTCAGTGGTTTCGCCGCCTGCCTTGCAAGCACAAGGACCCGAGTTCGATCCCCGGTACCAAAAAGAAAGAAAAAAAGAAAAAGAAATATCAAGTGTCTGAAGACCCTAAGAAAGGTGCAAGTGGCAAGGGCATTTATTGTCAAGATCTTTCAAAAAGAAGAAATGACTTTCAAGACACAAGTGAAAAAGTTAACACAGGAAGACAGAGAAAAAATATTTATGAATCAGCTGGGTATGGTGGCCCATGCCTGTGATCTCAGGTCTTGGGAGGCAAAGGTAGGAAGATTGCCAGGACTAGGAGGCCGGCCTGGGCCACATAGTGAGTTCAAGGCCAGCCTGAACTATATAGCAAGACCCTGTCTCAAAAAAAAGAACAAACCAAAATTTATGAATCACGTATTTGTTGAAGTTATAGTACTCTGAATATATAAAGTAGTACCCTCCTATATTGCTGGTAGGAACACAAAATTGTACAGCAGTAGTAAAAAATAGTTTGATAGTTATTAAATAAGTTAAAAAATAGAATTACCATGTGACCCAGAAATTCCATTACTAGGTGTATATCTAAAAGAATTGAAGCCAAGCATGGTGATACACTCCTGTAATCCCAGCATTTGGGAGACTGAGCCAGGAGGACCACTGCAAATTGGAGGCCAACTTCATCTACATAGTGAGTTCAAGGCCAGATTGAACTACACTGTGAAACCCTGTCTCAATAATAACCAAAAGGTGGAAACAACTCAAATATCCATCAACAAAGGACTAAACAAAAGTGATATATCTATATAATAGAATACTAGTCATAAAAGGAATGAAGTACTGATACATCTTCAATATGGATGAATTTCAAAAGCATTATGCTAAGTGAAAGAACCTAGACACAAACATATTGTATAATTTTTTTATTTTTTGGTACTAAAATTTGGACCCAGGGCTTTCGTGCTAAGCTTCTTTCCAGTCCTTTTTATTTTTTATTTTGAGGCAGGGTTTCTAAATTGCTAAATTGCCCTGGCTGGGTTTGAACTTGTGATCCTGACTCACTTTCCTGGGGTGGTGGGATTATAGGGATGCACCTTCAAACCCAGTTTGCATAGTTTCATTCATGTGAAATATTCAGAATAGGTTAAATCCATAGAGACAGAAAAGAGATTGGTGATTACCAATCAATGGAGAAGGGAAAATAGAGACTGCCCAATGTATAGGATTTTCTTTTGGGGTGAAATTAAATGAATGAATATAAGGTGAACATGAAAATGTTTTGGAATTAATAGAAAGAATGGGTACACAACATTATTTATTTGTTTGTTTTTGGAGAGTATTTGTTAGAAATAAAGAGGAGAGTAGCTCCTAGCTTTCCAGGAGTGATCCCAAATGGGGTGGCCTTGCACAACATTATGAATGTACAAAATGTCACTGAATTAAATACTTTAAAATGATTAATTTTATGTTATGCAAATTTCTTCTCAATTTTTTAAAAATTTGACTTAATATCAGTGGTATCTAGACATCATAGTTATGTGAAGGTAAAGGTAAGAGTACCTGAGGGAGTTTAATCTTAATCCTTAGTCTTTGCAACTTTTGTCTTCTCTGCCTAAAGAATTTATCCTGTAATTTTTTTCTGGTGGTCAAACCTTTCCTAACTTGTTAACTTATACCTTTCAAACTACCGCTATATTTCTCCTATGAAATCATAATATTTTTAAACTCCAGTTTCTCTAAATGGTTTCTTTTGTTCATTTTCCTCCTCTCCCTTGGTCAACAGCAGCATAGATTTTAAGAACCAAGACAGCTCATACAGCTTCCATTTTCTCAGTGCAGAGTTCAAAATTTCTTTTTAAATTTTAAAAAATATTTTTAGTACATGTTGGCAGTACATAACAATTACATTCATTGTGGGGAATGGTACATGTACATAACACATTTCAATTCCCTCTGACTTGAAGCTATCCTTTTTATGGCAGAGTAGTACTCCATTGTATATAAATACCACATTCAAAACTAAATTTTGGCTGAGCATGGTGGTGCATGCCTGTAATCCTAGCACTGAGAAGGCTGAGGCAGAAAGATTGCTTCAAGTTCAAGGCAAGCCTGGGCCACATAGTGAATTTAAGGTTTAAGTTTAAAGTAGTTAAGGTAACTACATAGTGAGACCCTGCTTCCAAAAAAAAAAAACCTAAACTCTATAATAAAAATGCAATGCATATTAGCTTCTATTAGAGGTTCTTGTTATATTTATTTCTTACCTTTTATAAAAGTTTTTATAAAAGTTCCTAACTTATCCAATACATAATAAATTCTATTTTACAAAGAAAAGTCTACTTTCAAGATAAATCTTTTTTGTGATCCCTGAAAAGTCTGATATTAAAAACTTTTCATACTAAATTATATTACTACAATACTATGCATAAATTATGTATTCTGATATTTCTATAAGTCAGATGATGCTATTCTAAGAAGAAGATATTTTCAATCTCTGCTGTAAAATATTTGAGTTTTGTTTTTTTTTTAATACCAGGGATCAAACTCGGCTCCTTACACTTGCACAGCAGGCGGTTAAACCAATGAGTTAAGTCCCCAGCTATCTGCTGTAAAATATTAACAGGGAAAATATTGGCATACTTAGATTTCTACATTTTCTAAGAGAATTTGACTTGCACTGAAATTATCAAAATATATATAATGAACCCTATTCTACATATATGTCTCATTTTTCATTATTGATGTGTGAAATAGTACTATAATTCCATATTATTGATTATTTTGCTACAGTTATAGTCAAGGAGAGTACAAAGACCTCCCCCAAAAGGGCTCAAGCTCTTCATATCCTTCTTTAATCATCAACCTTTTCTTGCTGTACTGGGCTCCCAAACAATATTCAAATATGCCTTATCATCTATAGTGTTAAGTCACCATTACTACCCACATACCTTTAGAACAACATTTCTCAAACCTCGCTGCACACTAAAAACAATTAGGAAGGAGGCCAGGGATGTAACTCAGTGGTGCCACTGCCTGCCTTGCAAGCACAAGGTCCTGAGTTCAATCCCCGATACCAAAAAAACCCAAACAACAACAACAACAACAGCAACAACAAAAAACACTTGGAAAGTTTTTTAAAATACTGATGCCTGAACTGGCTGCAGTGATACACACCTGTAATCCCAACACTCTGAGAGGCTGAGAGAGAAGGATCCAAAATTTGAGCCCAGCAGTCCTGGGAATTTAGCAATTTTAAAAATCCTGTTTAAAAAATACTTAACCTGAGCCAGACCAATTAAGTCAGTATCTCTGGTGAGAAAGCCCTGCTTTTTTTCAGTGATTATCCTCTATTTATCTATCCATCAATGTATTTTAAGAACACTTTTTCCATTGTCCTATTGTTGTTTTTGTTTTCTCTATGTTTTTGCTGTTTCTCCTAAGTACTCTTTTGGCACGGCTCTTCTTTAATCTAAATGTAGCAGCTTTTTGTTCTCTTAGGTCAGAGACAAAATCTTTATGACTCTAACACATTTCTAGCTTCCCCTCCTACTTCTCTCCCAGACTCTCCAAACCAGTCATACTGGTCTT